GTCTGTGATTCTCAACTGGCCACCTGTTGAAATCATTTGGGAGTCTTGAAATATGCTCATCGTTGGGTTCTCTCCTGAGGCATTTTGATTTCATTGAAATGGGGTGTAATGTGGGCATCAGAATTTTTTAAAGCTTCCCAGGTGATTCTAAGGTGCCACCAGGGTAGAGAAGCACTGTGCTGTTGTGTATCGGCTATACACAGCCACCTAAAGGCTGCATAACAAACATCTCTGTGACTTGAAACAATAAGCATTATTTTTCTAATGAGTCTACAGGTTGAAGATTTAGGCTGGGCTTGGCCGGGCAGTTCTGGTCTTGCTGGGCTCTCTCACTTGTCTGAGGTCAGCTGGCTATTGACCAATCTGGACTGGCCTCGTGCTCACATGTCTCATCGTCCCACCAGCGAGCCCTAGCATGTTCTCTTGGCAATTGCAGAGGAGCAGAAATATACATTTTTCAAGCCTCTGCTGACATCTCATTGGCCAAAGCAAGGACATAGCAAAACTCAGAATCTAGAGGCAAAGAAGTAGACTCTGCCTCTTGAGCGAGAGGACCTGCAAAGTCATGTGGCAACACGGGGTGTGGATACAGAGCAGGGTGAAGAATTTGAGTAGCACCCCGGGCTGGCAGGGGCACTCATGCTATGGGTCAGAGCATGCCCTGTTAGGCCCAACTAAGGCTCAATAAAACCAGCAGAGCATGGTTAATCCTTAATGTGATATTGAGATTATGCTGTAGAAGAAGGATGCTCCGCTACACAGGTGCCGGACAGGTAGATGAGTCCCAGGCCGATACTAAGTCCCTTTCTGAAGTTATTCCACGTGCCCTATTGTAAGCCGAACAACTGGTAGTGGCTGCCTGGATCACTGTGTTGAGAAGGATTCTGAGACCCCATCCAGACTCAGGGAAGAGCATCGTGAGCGATCACCAATGTCCACCGTGCTGTGGGCTCTGACCTCTACCCTTTCTCACCTCCCAGCCTCACTCCCATCATCTCTTTCCTAACACTTCCCACCTCCTTTTCTTATTCCTGGCCTCTGTCCTCACCCTCTTTTTGCTCCCAGCACTCCCTGGCACCAGGACAGAGCACCCTTGGCCTGCACGGGCACACACACCTTCCCTGGGTGGCACACCCCCAGCCCCAGTCCCCCCCCCAACAGCACTCCTACCGCACACAATAGAACACTGTGGTGGTTTTATCTTGGCAATTACAGAGGATTAATATTCAGAACCGAGCAGAAAAGGCCCCTGGAAGCAAATTCCCTGGTGTGTGTGTGTCAGAGATATGGATCTGACCAGGCTATGGGCCGGAGCACAGCACAGGTTACAAAGGTGCCGCTGTCTACAGGGGGTTGTCCTCACAGCCAAGCCGAAACAGGGATCAGTCGCACCTCACCGGTGCCCTGGTGCTCATTGTTGAAAAGAAGGCAAGATTCCCAACAGAGATGCCTGCTGCGGGCTTTGGGCACATGCTAGGATGGCTTATTTTATTCTTAATTAAATGATCAGTTGGGCCCCATGGAGCTGAGAAAAAGAGGCAGGCTTAATAGGAGCAGTGGGTGGAGGGTGGGGCTGGGGCTGGGCCAGTCAGAGGAGTGGGAAAGGGCAAGGCCTAGAAGTTAGAACCAGGGGGTGTGGCTGAAAAATATAACCAGCCCCTGCCTGCAAGTTGAGCCCTGCCGGCTGTGCCCCCTGAGAATTCTCCGTGCAGCCTCTTTCAGTGTGGGAGCATCTCGATGCACTGGGCTGCAAGCCCTCCTGTGTGACAGAAAGAGCTGTGTGCACTTTGGCAGTGAAGTGCAGTGACGGTCCCTGTCTGTCTATCAAGGGGACGGTCACCAAGCAGAGGGCTGTCAGCCCAGGGACCTTCCTTCACCACCTGCTGGGAGGGAGGGCATGTCAGAAGGCCCTTCTGCCGCCTGCTCCACTCCACATTGGAAAGTCGAACCCAGGCTCATGGGTCTTAGTCTGGGGAGCTTCCCTCCAGGTACTAGTGAGTGCAGCACTAGCTACAATAACAGATAGACCCCCAGTCTCAGTGACTCACACATAGAAGTGATTTCTTGCCCATTTGAAGTCCTCGCATGAGTGGGGTGGGGAGGGGTGCTCTCCTCCACACAGTCATGCGGGGTCCTGGCTGGTGGGAGCTTTGCCAGCACAGCACAAGCCTTCCCAGTTGTCCTGCTCTGACAGAGCAGGGAGAGAGAGGATGTGAAAATTGTGCAGGAGATGGACAGATCCAGAAGCAGTGCACATCTTTTCCTCCATATCCCACTAGCTCAGCCTCAGTGCTCCACCTGGATGCAGGGGAGGCTGGGAAGCGTGTCCTTGTCTTCCCAGCAACTGCAGAGCTCTGTAGAAGGGGAGCCCGAGACCGAGTGGACAGCTGGCCATCTCTGCCTA